GCGAATCTAAATTTTCATAACTGGGGTTACGAGGGTTGACCCGGGGTTACCCTCGTTCTATTCTAAGTACCCTGCTATCCTCGATTCCCAAAGTCGTTGATCACATGCACCCCGATGAACACCCTAATATGCAGATCCCTAAAGCACCGCATCTCGCCTCATTAGTTAGCTCCTATTAGTTAAATCACCCAATCTACCTTCCGAATTTAGTTCCACTGCAGCAGGGAACCCTAATAAAGCTAGGTCTACTTCAAACTGTGCTTCGTGCTGTACTCTTCCACCCAGAATTCAGCAGTAGACAAATCCCAGGACGATGGGAATTTGACTCGACGAGACCTCGCTGTCGAGATAATCGATCAGAATTGGCAGTAACCAGGCTGGTCTAGCGTTTTTCCAGTTGGCAGCTGGCCCAAAAGGTCTAGGCTTGCTCCGTTTAGGTCAAGACTGGTGGATCTCATACACGGACTCGCAAATAGGCCACCGAGAGTCCTCGCATAGGCAAAAATTACCTGGCCAACCGTATTCGAATATTAATCGGTCAGCGTTTCCTTCCTCGAGCCTGTTCCTTCTCCTGTTACTGCTAAACCAGCGACGCGAGAACAACGGCTGCTGGTAACAAAGAGTCGCAACGCGGATGCAGAGATACGTCGGGTTACGTGTGCCTACGTTTGCGTAACACCTTGACTGGCCGGTGCTGAAAAGAGGAAGAACCTAAGCGATACGATGCGTGGTACGATGATCCTTCGGCGTTTAGCAACCGTGCGCTCTATTTCTCAGGGAGAAATCACGCAGTGGTTGGATAAACCCTTGTAGGATCTATCTGCTGACACGTAGGAACCTATGCAAGAACCAGGACTCTGATTTCCTTTGATTCTAAGTGGACGAGATGGTCATCGCTTTCAAGAAGACTTGGGCAAGCAAATATTATCTCTAACGAACGGGAACTCGCGATAGGATTTATCCGAGAGATTTCCACGAAACTGAAAATCCCCTAACACGCGGATTGTTCCAGATAAAAGCATGCATGCCATGAAAGGATGAGTCACGGATTCGATGAAATCCTCCGCGAAGCACACGCGTCCCGATACACGAAGCACCGTCATAGTCTGTGGTTTTTCAAGCAACCTCGTGTCATCCTTCGGAACAGGTTCCAAAGATGATGAACGAAGAGAAGCTCTCTCGCGACGGGCGTCGGGGATGGGCTTGTTTATCACTCGAGGACAAAGACCGTACTGTACGTGGCTTGTATAGAGCAAGCATTATAACGGGGGCATCGATGGGAAAGCACGCATCGTCCACGGGACCAGGGCGGATAAGCATCAATCTCTTAGCCAGGATCCGATCAGAACGATAACCGAGTGCCTCGAGACGCCGTGTCGTGACTTTCTACCCCATTGTTTCGATTTACAGGTGCTAACTCCTAAAAGAAGAGCCACGACGCTTTTCGTTCCGTGCTGTACCTTGATTCGACACTCCGTGCATTCCCTGGCTCAGTCCAAGCCTTTGGGAACCATGCGAGGAGGGCCTTTATTGGCCCGATTCGGCGTACAAGGTTAATCAGATTTATTGGAAGATTGATCGCGACGATGTTGGTTTTATTGGTCGTACGAGAAGAGATTTAAAGTTCAGAGGCGTTGGTATATTATTTTACTAGCCATTCGGCCATTTTTATCGCACTAATTCCGAGTGTAATACGATTCGATTGCTTTCTCCATTATCACGCACTCGAGGTCGAAGTGCGAGAATGATTTATCGCGTTTAAAACGATACGAGATCGTCTGACCGACTGGGAACAATGATGTTCCAAGACCCGTTCGGATATCAAAGATTCGTGACACCGAATAGAGGAGAACGCTTGATAGAAAGGTTTAGGCACTCCGTAATCGGCCATTTTGGATCACGTTCATTATCCTCTTTAGCGTTCGCTCTAAAGTGTTGTTGATAGACGAGGAATCTAATCAAATAGGAATAACAGGACCGTGTTGACAGGCTACAGAGAACTTTCTTTCCTCGACAATCCCCGTCATCCAAAGTCTCGCAAGACGCATAGATCTCGCTCCGAGTGCAGCCAATCTCGGTTGGATGGCTAGTAATTCTAACCTCGAAGGTAACCAACACCGTCCTTCGCGTTGAGAACGACAGATCAATCTGTCGTAACCGGTAACCTTACTGTTCTCATCAAGCTTTCGATGGTACCTCGAGCAACGTATCCCTGATCAGGCCAGAGAGTCAGAAGCAAGAAGCTGTCAACTATCAAAAAGCCATTCGTCGCTGTTCCACTGAGACAAATGGTCTTTATAAAACCTCTTGATCCTTTATAGTCCCGTGTAAATTGGAACTCGACATTCCGTTCCATTAGAGGCTTCACGATTTTTGTACACAAGGCACAGCCATTTGCGTTTTAATTTCATTTGACAAGCTACGTTACCGATTAGGAAAATGTGAAAATGGCACAACGACTAAGAATTAAAGGATACAGAGGATCGAGGCTTAGCCTCTTTTCAGAAGAACAATGAGCATAAAAATATCAACGGCCGAACCTACCTACGAGCGTCGGAGGAGCTCGGAAATTTCTGCCGGTGTTTCGAGCGATTAACACCTACTCCGAGGATCTCACTCGGATAAAAGATCGCGTGGGTGTTTTATGAAGCGTCCACGTAGCAGATACAGCGAAAAATCATGACGGCAATTAAGCGTGAACCGACTGGAGGTGACATCCGTGTAATTACAGTCGTTCAAGAGCCGCGTACACGTCAATTACGCGAGGGCGTTGACCACATTTTAAACGAAGCTCAATTGCAGAAATCTTTTGACCGCGCGTCACCGATTTTCCCTCGTAGGCCTCCGCCAGGTCCCTAGTTACGTCTCTAGTCAGGTCGCTAACCAAGTCTCTAGCTAGGTTTCTAACCAAGTCCCTAGTTAGATCTCTAGTTAGATCAAGTGTCCAGCCAAAGTGTCTATTCAGATCTCTCATCAAATCTCTATTCAGATTTTTAATCAGATCTGTGACTAAATTTCAAGACAAATCTTTAGTTAGGTGTCTAGTTAGACCTCTAGCCAAATCAGTAGATAAATCTCAAGCAGATGTCTAGTCAGGTTTTCGGTCGGATCTCTAATCAGATCTATCACATCTCTAGCCAAATTTCTAGACAAATCTCTAGTCAGGTCTCTAGGCAAATCCCTATCCAGGTCTCTCATCAGAACCCTATCCAAAGCTCTTATCAGATCCCTATCCAGGTCTCTCATCAGATCTCTAGCCATGTCTCTAATCAGGTCTCTAGACAAATCTTAATCCAGGTCTCTCATCAGATCTCTAGCCAAATTTCGAAACAAGTCAGGTCTCTAGTTAGATGTCTAGTTAGTTCTCTAGCTGGATCAGTAGAAAAATCTCAAGCAGATCTCTAATCAGGTCTCCAGTAGGATCTCTGACCAGATCTATCACACCTCTAGCCAAATTTCTTGGCAAATCTCTAATCAGGTCTTTAGACAAATCCGTATCCAGGTCTCTCATCAGATTTCTAGCCAAACTTCTGCCCAGGTTTCTGGACAAATCTCTATCCAGGTGTCTAATCAAGTCTCTAGCCAGGTGCCTAACCAAGTCTTGGAGTCGGAAAGGAAGCGGAACCACGATCGAAAGACGTTCTTAGTCACCGGAAATGGTCCCGGTGAACCGATTAACGCCGAAGCGAACTACCGTTTACACGGTAGCCGGGAAGGAAGAAAAGAAGCTATTAAACGAGAGAAAAGCAAGGAGTAATCGGGCGGTTAATGTTTTCCACGATGTTGAGTCTCCAGTCTGAGACATTGGACAGAGACGAGTATAGAGCGTGGAGCAACAGTCACGCTTTCTAAACTCGACTAGTGTTCCGCTCTGTTCCTCTATTTCGGTATAGACTCGACTTTTGACACGTAAAGACACTCGATGCTTCCTCTGTTTGGACGTCGAAGAAGCTCGGCCTGTTCCGGGTACGAACCCCGGCGAAGAATCGACGGGGCGAACCGAGTGTTCAGACCTACTCGCCGGTATTTGTTTCTTTCATCGATCGCCGTTGAATAAGCGGTTCTCGGAAGACCCCTAAAGAAAATTACGACGCTTTTCTACGGCCGGGAAAAGCAACGGCGCGCGCGCGCCAACATCGACGAGTAGTATTTTAAAAATAAACCACCGAGAAATTTTTCGCCATTAAAACACCGGCATGAAATATTAATTACCGCGCAGGTCCCGGTGTGCAAGATGGTAAGAGACGCGTTCGAGCAGTAAAACGCGAGGAATAGCTATAATAATTATCCAGTGGTAAATATTGAACGTTCCCCAAGGATCGAGGAGAGCTGTGCTCGCCGGTTGCCAGGCTCACCGCGCGCAATTAGAAAATTCCTCTGAAAGGATGTGCGACTTCCTGGGAAGAGCTCCCGACAATTTTTATCACGGTGGAAACCACTTAAGTAATTCCACAGATAAAGCACTTTGCTCGCGAGTACCGGTGTGTAACAGTTGTTTATCCTCTTTGTATCGAAACTACGTGCTCCTTATGTACGTTTCGCGGAGAACAGGAAACGAAGAACGACGCGGAGACACGGAAAAATCGTTCGGATGAAAACGTACCGGAGGAAAAACAGGTTGCAGTAAACCTCCTCGAGATGGGGAAAAAAGAGCAGAGAGAGAGAGAGGGAGGGAGAGGGGAAATAGGGAAGA